TATATTTTACTTTATTATTTAATAATAATTTCTTATGTACATTTTATTATGACTGCCTCTATTTGTTTGTTTATTATTTTGTTTAAATTTATATTTAAATATATATATTTTTTTACACTTTATTGTATTATTCATTATTATTTATAAATGTTTAAATAAATGTAATAATTTTATTATATTTGTTTGTTAATACTTAAATTAATAATTGTACTTGTTTGTTTATTATTTTCCAATTGTTTATAATTTATTTTTTATAATGTATATATAAATTTATATGTAATTTCTAATTTACATTTTATTACTTCTGTTTTGTTTATTATTTTATTGTTTAAATGTATATTTAAATATATATTTAATAATAATTTCTTAGTCTTATTTTTATGCTTTATTACATATTTTATTCATTATTATTTATACATGTATATTTAAATTTAATAATTTCGTAATTATTTATTAATACTTGATGAATAATTGTAATACTTATGTTTGTTTATAATTGTTAATAATAGTAATACATTATAATTTTAATAAATGTATATTTACATTTACATTTATATTTAATAATTTCTAATTTCCATTTTATTACTACTCCTATTTTATTTATTACTTTAATTGTAGTTGTCGTTTATTTATTTATTATTATTATTATTATTATTCCGTGATGTTTTAATTCAGCCATAGCATTACGGGTTTTGTCAAATTTTCTGACATTTCCTGTAAATATGTTTGACTTATTTTTAGTGTGTACAGGAAAGAATGTTCTTAATGTTAAATAGGATGGAGTGGGTGAGGGGTGGGGGTGTTTAAAAAAAAAAAAAAGAAGATATTTATGGGTCCAAAACAGATTGTTTTCACTGGGAAAAGACCAGGGGTGTACAATATTTGTTGGCTTGTATGTAAATGATGATTCATCGTCGTCTGCTCAGTAGCGTGGAAAACTGAAGGTCTTTAGGGAATTTGTCCATGGAGCAGTGATGTGTCTGCTCTGCATCCTGGGTTACATAAGTCCCTTTTACTTCTGGTCACTGCACCGTATCCGAGTCCCTCTGCTGCTTTCCCTTAAATTGAAGCATTACATCCGTCTTCAGGACAGAGTGTGACTTGAGTAGAGTTTAACATGTGGGTTGGTTTTGTCACACATCATAATAAATGCAGATCATTGTATGATGTCTACTTTATATTCCTTTTTTTTTTTAACCATCAGTGTCTATTGAAATCTGAATAGTAATCATGTAGTTGTTTTTTGTATGCAGTGTTTTTCCCCTTTGCAATAGCTGAGCAGTTTTGTAAATTGTAAATGCCAATAGATTTGCTGTCATTTTGCTCTCCATCTCACTCCGGTGGACCTTGACATTGGGATGAGAAGGAAAGTCATTTCCAGCAGTCTCACCTGTGACACATTATCAAAGACACTTACAAAAGGCTGCTATAGCAATGACCCAGCATCTGCCAAGGGCACACCTGCTTGTTTCACACTCTGACGTCACGGCCTATTTCTGGAGCGAGACGCTGCATGACCTCCTGCATAATGGAAACAAATTATAACTGAAGTCTGGAACTTGTTCTATTACCGGAGCTTTCAAATGTGTATTTCATAAAAAATGTAATAGATAAAATTGGGTGTAGGCTACAGTTGTAATTAAGAAATTGCTAGCGAATTTCACTGTTACAAAGAACGTAGGCTAAGTAACACACTGAATTAAATTTGAAGTTCAGTAACACTGAATAATCTTTGTTTTATTTACAACTTCAGAAAATTACTTTTTAAAGTGTTTCTGCTGTGTGTCGATAAGTCGAAGACGATCGCCACTTCAGCCAGCGAAACACAATATTACTGCAATACAACAAAAATATGCTATGTAAATAATCAATTAAAGGGGCTTAAAATCTTTAAAATGTTGTATTAATTACTTTTTGGTTATTTTTTCCTTTTGGATATTTATTCCTTTTCAGTTCACTGCACTGTTTGGCTGTAGCTGCATAGTTACTAAAAGGGCTTTTTTTAAAAGCAGGACTATGTAACTTTTGGCGCTCTAGCGGTTAATAAACAGAACTGCACACATCCCGCGGAAGAACATTCCAACCGGAGCTACTACTTTAAGTTTATGTCTATGGCGATTTACGCAGGTATGTGTTACTCCGCAGCGGTGACGACCCGACCAGGCTACAATAGTCCAAATATAAGTACTTATTATAAGTGTACCGTACCGTAGTGATTCGGAATAAGACAAAAACGCGGTTTTGGAAGATGAATTCATGATGTACTCGCTCATTATATACATTTTGCAAATTTGAACACAGAAAAAGTTACATAGTGCTGCTTTAAAGCACGCATTTCTGCTTGTAGCCAAGATTAACCTTACCCACAAGGCTGTACAGTCGTTAAAAAGGGAAGACATTCTACAGGGACTGTAATGTATTGTCATTTGGTCAGTGCGTCTTTAAGAAACACTCCGGACTCTGTGGTGGATTAGTATAGGCTCCTCCTCCTCATGCGTGTGTGCACTGCAGTAAAAGAAGTAAAGCTGGACTGAACGTTTGAAAGCACAGTGTCGGTATCTTGCATTATTTTACAGGGACAGGGTGTTTTGCTGCACCTCAGTGTCGAAAATGTGTAGTACATTCATTCCTTTCTGCCAATATTCTGTCACAGACCTGCTCTAGTTGAATGGCGCCACCACGAGCATCACCGTATAACAACGGACTGGTTTTTGCACATGTAAGAAAGTGAACACATTGGTCCTTTTTTACTTTTTTTTTTTCTCTAGCAGCAGTGTGCATACGAAACAAGTACAGTGGTTTAAAAAATACATAGCCTAAGTACCGTAAAAGATTGTGATACTAGGCCTATACTCGTTAGTCAAAAGGAGACTGATGCGTCGTGCAATGCAAGCAACCATACTCCCAAAGATGAGTTTCAAGTAGCCTACTCCCTTTATTTTTGTTTGAGCTCCTGGGTATTGTGCAAAAACACTATCTGTGGAATTTGTGGAATCTCAGAGAGGCTTGTAAATAGCCAACAATTTTCGTCATTTGTCTCCAGGCTTCAAATCAATAGGTCTACCACTCAAGATCTTCCTAAATATATGATTTACATTGTAATTTTTACCTTCCGAATATAATTACAAGAACATTGAAATATGAAAGGTCCCTCCAGTAGGAGTGCGCATTAAAATTAACCACAAAAGTTAATTACACAAGCCAGAACGCACGTTTTCTGCTAACTCTAGCGAATAAAATCGCGTAGGCTAGCAGTGGTAACCATAACAACAGTAGTTCGCTGGAGCGCTTTGAGTCAGGACTCAGGAACGTTGTCGGACGAAACACAAATAGTGCTGTGTATCATTTTATTATTATTTTACAAATCACATCGTGTTTAATCTTTAAAGGTAGTTCATGTTTAACGCCAAATATAGCCTGCACATGTAGGGCTACATCTCGAAGATGTCTCTCAAAAGCATCTGATAAACACCTGTAACTGTTACCTGCAAAAAATGCAGTTTCACATACATTCCAAATCATTAACGCCCTAAGAACGTTCTAAATGTCTCTTTAATATCTGACATGCAACCTTCTGAGATGAGAAAACGCCTCAATAAATAGCACCTAATTTTCCACATGAAACCCCGTATATCAAATAGGCGTCAGTTAAGGTTGCGCCCTGAATATTTCCTATCGAAATTCCTTTAAAGGTCGATTCCTTGCCTGCCTCCACCTTCTGGGTCAGAGGACTACGGTATAAAGCAAAGCTGAGCTGGGGAGGAGTCTAGCTCCGTTACACAGGCGCGCGTTCGAACATAAGAAAATATTTACATGTAGGTGTCATTTCCACAACTATGACTACGTGCAGCTCACAGTGTAAGGAATAACACTTCTTGAACTCGTATAAGAAGATAAGACTTTTCAATCACAATTTCACTAGTAATTCTATAGAAGTTTTGTATAACACTGGGTCGTCAAAAGATTGCTTCTGGTTTGTCCCAGGGATTCATTAAAACCGGATTCTTTGGTGTTGAGCAGGATCGAGCTGGTAAGACTTTGACGCGCTTTGCATTTAAAAAAAAGTTGAATCAGCTATTACTTATATTAACGTAAGATTTCTTGCATAACTACCACATGGCTCTTTATAAATGGTTTCTGCAAGTGAGATCTGTTGTTCCAATCGATCTTTGCAAAAAAAAAACAGGTGATTTATCACGTGCAGTTTATATGCATGCAGACTTGAATGCATTTTTTTGTTGTTGGTTGCTCTTTGTTTAACATTTGCAAGAATGCAGTCCTGATTATATCGGCAGCTGGAGCACGTGACCATCAATATCACATTACAGCTCCTTGAGAGTTGTTTGTGTTTACTGTTTTGCACATCATGTTTCACGTTTTTAATCGCGTAGTCGGTTTACTGTAGTATGAGATTAGTTGTGATAATGGGGAGAAAGAATCTTCTGCCACCAAGCAATTCAGTGAAATCTCGCGGAATTGGGTTAAATAGGGGGGAGGGGGTTTTCTGTGTCTTAGTGCCAGAATTGTAAAGAGTGTATGGGACTCCCCCTCCTCCTCTTCATTATTTATCCTGTGGAGAAATGTTGTAGTGACACATCTGTGCAACAACTGTACTTTACCGTGGTCTTTTTGTACACAAATGAGTTTAATTGAAGATGTTATTTAGAGACCACCTGAGATTTCCAAGCGATCGATTGCTGTGCATCTAAGTTGAAATGGGTTTTGAGATTGGAGTTAAATGGTATGCGTTTGAGAGTTACAGCGAAAACACTCACTTACGTAAGTCGCTTACCAAATATCATCTGAAATACCACACCCCACAGCCATGTCCCTTGGGCTCCTTATCCCACCGTTTTGAGGTGGTCCTCCAAAAATAGAGCCCTTTTGCCATTCTTAGCAACAGGAGAGAGAAACATGCTGGGGAACTGAAAGAGATCTTTTTGTGCAGCTCATAGATGCAGAAATGCTCAATTAAATCACCTTTATATTTTATTCTGTGTAGTTGTTTAAACGTAATACAACAAGAAGCACTTGATGTCCAACAAAAAGTCACCCACAACTTCCAGGACTTAAATGCTGTTAAATGCTCAAGTTAGTAATATAAGGGAAGTGAGACTTCATTAGTCAGGTTTCTAAACCTTCCCACAAGAACTGAAGTATGTGTGTGGAGTTTTGCAGGGATTGAAGACAGCCCAGTGTCTCACACTCACTTGTTTTTTCAGACAAGATGGAACTTTGTGTTGCTGCAGTGCTTTTGTCCTACTTCGCTCCAGCTTTGGGTGAGTGCTGTTGTTTGTTTTTTTATTGCCACCCTCTCAGCTATACTCTGAGAATTATTTTTTTTATATAAATATATAAAGTAGAAATCATCTCCAGAATGTAATTAGGACAAAAATTAAAAGTATTTGTCCTGCACAGACTTTCCTTTAGAGATTAACAACAGTATATGTGTATGCATGCAGGATCAGCTTTTGGCAGGGAAATGCCAGGTAAGTGTGTAGAGGGTTAGAGACACTTTGCTATGTGAGTGATTAAAAAAAAAAAGCTGAATTTCGAGTTTTCTGTGCTTCTGTCTGACGTTGATATGTACCAAGGCTTTTTCTGTTTGTTTTTGTTTAATAATAAAATTTGACTGCCGTTGCACTTGACTGCTTTTCTGAAATACTGGAGCAGTTTGTGCTGTTTTGGCTTTGCGTGTTTTTGGCAAATGTTCTCAAACGGTTCCACCGTGTCTCGTTTCGGCTTACGATTACACCTTTCCCTGAAGGGTTTTTCTGAAAAGCCGATGAAGTAACACTACTCTTACACCACGAGGCTTGAGACTTTTTCAAGTGTGCCAGTGCAGCTCATGTTGTACCTAACCTTGGGTACATGCAGTTCTGCTACTCCATATGGAGGCAGTTTTGACAGGATGAGTCTTTGAAGTATTTATCGACCTTGGGAATTATACGTATTGTTGCTTTATTTTGAGATTTGTCCACTTTTAGAAGTTGCAGTAGCATGCATCTAGCCGATCCGTTGGATTTCTGGGAGAATTGCTGTTTTCTCAGACTGTGTATGTGTGTTGTTGTTGCCAACACAAACATTTGAATACACCATTTAAGCGCTCCAACACTGTCGGACTGGCCAGTGTGCTCTCATGTAAATACTGCCCACATAAATATGTACATGAGCAGCATTAAAAAAATGGTTTTTGTACACAGGAATGCTAAAGTGTTTGCATCAATGCTTTGTTCAGTGTTTTTGAAAGGGATGGAGGAGAGAGAGCGAGAGATCATTATGGATAACCAAAGTCTTACAGTCAGACCATTCATAATGTTTAATGGGAGATTTGGAGCGATGCCTTCAACATTCTTGTTTACAGAGAGCAGATCCTCTGAAAAGACTCTTTAAAAACATATAGGTCTATTATCATTCCACTGATAGATTTGTGGCATAAAATGACTCAAAGTAACATTTCTGCCAAATGTCTGTTTAATACTAATAAGAAGTCTTTGAAAAGAACTTGTCAAAATATTAGAATTAATGCGTCGTTCTTTGAAATGAGTTCCTAAAATAACCTTTCTGTGTAATATAAATCTCATAGTTGAGCTTTTTAAAATGCATCTTAAGTTGATCTGGCATATTGAAAAGAAGCTGTTGGCTGCCACAGTGTGAGCATTTCTTTTGTGTCTTCCATGATTGTGCACATGCTTTTTTAACATATTGCCATATTTTGGAGTTATTATGGCTGTCTGTGTGTCTGTGTCCAAACATATTAACTGTCGAAAAGTAGTATGCAACCATTTAACATTGTAGTACACTGGAATACTTAGGTGCCAGTTCTATATTATATAGTTTAAGAATCACTGCAAGTTCTATATTAATCTTGGTTAGATTTAAATTGTAACACTTTTTCTCTCCCTCAGCTTCTCAAATGGATGAAATTCATGGTAAGTGTCTTCTAGTCTAGAATTAATTTTACATTAACTGAACGTCTTATTGGCTTATTAACAATGTTTTTAGCCAGGCTAGACCAGGTCTAATGTTGTGTGCATTGAAAAAGCATAGGTTTGACACTATAAGCTTTTAGTTCACAGTGGGTGTGAAAAATGTTTATGGAGTCACCAGTCAGAAAGCTCTTGTCCTCTTTTGGTACATTCCATACAGTATCAATTTGTCAGTAGCGTTCTGTATTTGAGAAATGGCTTGCAGATAATATCTTTTTATGTTCTGGCACTATAATGTTGTCATTATCTTAAATTCTCTTAATATTTTACATTTTGATTGCTACCAGTATTTATTTATTTTTTTAATAGCTTTACGGAGTTTTGACTCTAGATATTTACTTTTTTTTTTTCTCCCACCAGAATACGACAAGCCATTTCATTATGGTGAGTACAGATGGACTATAGCTGCTTAGGCAGTATACATACTTATATGGATTTAGGAAATCTCTTGGTTGACTTCATAAAGCTGAAAGGGGAAAAATGCTAGTATGCAAAACATAGCAATTACTCAGAGGAATTTGTGTTTTTCAAAGTATTGTGAGCATAGTCGTTTTATTATGGGGGTTACAGCTGCACTCTGATGTTTCCAATAGTATGCTGAGCGCTGTTGTGTTAAGAAGGGCTTTCAGGGCCAAAGTGCATCACCTTTCTCAGGAAACATCTGGGAAGTCAGAGTGATTTGCGTTTCCCCTTCTGTTTTTCCAAAATAGATGGAAAATATTCACTCCGGGACTAAGCTTCTGTAGAACACACAAGTTAGAATCTGATATCTACCCCAGAATTGAGAATTTCCCAAATTTACTTTTTATTCAATTTGTTTATTGTCCGTATTTGGATTATATGTATAATCTGTCATGTTTACAATTAAAAGTACAACTCGGAGCCCTATTAGAAAGCAAACAACTAAGTACACATGGCAGTTTAGTGGTTCCGGACTGTCTCAGGAAAGTCATTCTTCAGCCTTTTTCATTATGCTTAGCAGATTATTGTCTGTGCATGTTGTGTTGGCCTTAACACTCGTAAGCAGGACCAAACGGAATCTGCGGAACCTTTCGCATTTTCTGTGCTGATTTTAGGGAAAATTAGTCAAATTTACATCTGATTTTTAGTTGATTTGTTATATGAAACTACAGTAGTACTAGGCGCTTATCTGAAGTTTAAAGCCTAACCAATGAGTCAAAGTATTGGTAAACAAATGGATGGGATGTAGAAATTTGGGAATGAGTTCTGATTCTACAGATTCCATGAGAACCTGCAATAAAGGGGCTGTTTTGTGTGTGTGAATCTGTCATTTGTGTATTGTTTTACCACAGATGCAACCATTTTTTGTTTTAAATATATTTTAAGTAGTGCTGTCAAACGGTTAATAGCATCCAAAATAAAAGTTTTTGTTTACAGAATATATGTATGTGTACTGTGTATATTTATTATGTATATATAAATACACACACATGCATGTATATATTTTGAAAATATTTACATGTATTTACATGTGTGTGTATATATAATATATTTATATTAAATATAAATATATTTAATATATAAACATAACGTATTTTTCTTAAATATATACATGTATGTGTGCGTATTTATATATACATAAATATACACAGTACATACACATACTATATATTCTGTAAGCAAAAACTTTGATTTTGGATGCGATTAATCGTTTGACAGCACTAATTTTAAGCTTATTGTGGAATGTTTCCCATTTTAATGATGTTTTATTAACATTCTAATAAAATGAAAACATGCATCACTTCTGCATTTGTACATGTTCTTCTGAATCCTCTTTCCAGATTATGAATCTCTGAGGATCGGTGGTATGATCTTTGCTGTGATCCTCTTCTTGATGGGGATCTTCCTCATTGTCAGTGAGTGTCAAACTTTCTACCATTCTCAGAAAGAGTTATACCTTTGTACAGTACTTGCCATCAAATGTATAGAATATTTTTTTGTAGATATTCATCTAAGAATGTGTCCTCGCGCAGATACAAATATCGGTTACTGAGGGTAGACTGGTTGCAGGCCAGCGTGTCTTTCATAACCTCTAAGTTTAAACCTCTCTACGACACCCAATACCGCACCATGACTTATGGTGTTCCACCAGTGCAGAGACAAGCAGCCAATCTAACCTTTGACACTCTTACTCTGAAACCCCCACCAGCCCTCATAAATTACTAACGAGAGACCCTGCTGACCTGATGTTATATAGACCATGAGTTTGATCACAACAAGTGACAGTAGTTTGGTTTTTGTGTACCTAATTTCATCATGTGTTACAGCAACATAGGCAATCTCTAAAACACCATGTGTTTGTGAATGCTTTTCTCTTGTATATTATAATAAACCACCAGTGGTTTTGATCATACTTCTGGCTTGTTTCCAATAGGTCGGAAATGCCGCTGCAAAGGGAACAAGTCAAAGTAAGTGGCAAAGAAAACTGTAATGCATTTTGTTCGATGAAAATATTTAGGCTAAACTGTGGTAATCCAGTCATTTTAACAGGAATTCATGCAATCTGGAATTTTGCATTGGATCAAAAGATTTCACCATCCATATTTCGCAACGGGTTTGATTTGGTCACACAGATTCCCCACGTTGACCAACAAAAATCTGCTTGCTTTGACAATTTCTCTGTGATCTGTGCTTGATACAATGCTACACTATTGACAATAGACAACTGACCCTTTTTGCCACAATTTTTTATAACGTGACCGCATCTGTTCCAATGATGCGACTAGATCAATAATCAGAGATCACAATATAATGTCTATTTATTTTTCTGCTCTTCAGGAAATGACCACCTTTTGACTTCTCTTTTGTTGTCTTTTTCCTACTTCATAGGCCAGTGGGTATTGACACAGAGGCAGCCAGAGGTGAGAATGTTCCATTTTATTATAGTTATATAATATATAGTTTTTATATTATATTATAATATTATAGTTCATGACACTTAAAAAGAAACTGACATTTATGGTATTTTTATTGCAGGTGCAAAATAAAGTAAGCTGAGGGAATGGTGACACTGTCTCTACTTTTGGATTCGTCGTAAAGTGTTATACTGTATATCCTGCATAATTTTTTATGACTGTATATCTCTGTTTTTGGTTCCTCTTGACAGAAAGCATGGCTTCTTAAGGAGAAATCTTAATCAGAACTTTGACCATTTGGAAGAAGAAAAAGTCACTTGAGGATTTAGTTCTTCTAGTGTTCACAATTTTACATTTTTATGTCTTTGTCTCTGGGTACATCAGAGTATGAGTGCTCCTTTTTAAAATTTGAAGTTTTAAAAATATTGTTTAAATAAAAGTGTTGATTATCAGCTAGAACTACTTTGCCGTAATGTTTAACTCAGCAGCTGATACCTTTGAGATTTTCCTTCACTTTTTGTCATGTACTTTTCAAGCTCTCTGAAGTTTATGAAATACATGGTGTTGGCTAGTATGTGTAAGTGCTCAGTAGCTAAAAGTAGTAAGTAGGCATTTTATATATTTTGTAAATTGTCCATACAGTTTTGTCACGTCGCAGAAGTAACAAAACAAACTGTATACTGTAGTTGAAAAATAAAGTGATTTCCATGGAATGTCTGTTAAGTGTCCTCGAGAAAACGTAACCGTTATATAACGTGTGCTTGGCATCTGCCCCTGGTCTGTCTCTCATATTCAGTCTGTTATAAATAGTTGACCCTGTTATGGACTCAATGCACGGCCCACTGCCTACGTATTTCCGCTAAAATCTCAGTTGTATGCGAGCTTCCGGTTTAGCGTTCTCCGATAGCAAGCTGTGGTAATAGCGTGGTCTTTGTCAAATTTTTTATTAACTAGCGATTACAAATAATTATTTTATATTATATATTTTATTAATAAAATCATAGCATTTTAGTATATTATATTAAAATATAATGTTTTATTAATGAGTTCAAGAAGCATTAAGTGCCTTCGGCGTGAAGGTGCAACGTCTATGTATTGCTGTGTCCTGTTATGTGACACATCCTCAAGGTTTAATTCTGTGGTTAGTTTCCATACGTGAGGATTTTAATATCACTCCTAACACAAGAGTCTGCAGTCGTCACTTCAAGAGTGAAGATTTGATCAAGCCATCGACTCCCTCAGGACGCCGGCTACTGAAGAAAGGTGCAGTGCCCACTTTGTTTGAGTGGAACAACTACTCCACTACAACACCTAAGCGCACCGGGGCATGGCAGAGGAGAAAAGTTTATTATAAGATGCTGTATTATAAACCAAAAACTAATCTTCTGGTCTTTGCATAATACAGTATATGTTCATGTAGATATTTTAGTAGTAGTCCATGTTTGCTATGTACAAGTAAGCACACAGATTGGTCAAGGTTGTAACCATCTAGTGGAAGAGGTGGCCGTGGTGGGGCATCTTGATGGGGAGTAATGTTGCGTGTTGTTGCTGCTGGCTGTTGGTATGACAGAACACTCCCAGCCTGAACTTTACCGAAGGCAGAATCTACCAACGAATCATCATTGGACATCCCCATTGTGGTGACTAAAGGGGCTGTAGTGCTGGTAAAGTCCTTATACACCTCTGCCACTTGCAGGACTGAGAGGTCAGGCAGGTTGCTGGTAACAACTTTATACAAGGTATTCATAAAATGAAAAATAGTATTCATAAATAAGTTGCACATTTTTACAGGCTCAGTCACTATTATCTTTATTGTATGGAGAAAAGATGCAATGAAAGTGAAATGGTGACTGAAGCAGTCATTCTGCCTAATAAATGTTTTTGTGTTGAAAGTAATATGGGTTTGGAATGACATGAGGGCGAGTAAATGCCATGACTTTTTTTTGTGAACTATCCCTTTGTCCACAGTAAACAATTCTAAACAATCCTATATTATACTTTTACATTAAGTAAGTAACTGATTGCAGTGTGCACCTTAAGCCATCAGCGAGTTTCCTTTCTTTAGGTCATGCAGATACCAGAACCACCATCCCACTGACAGGACCTGGCCAGACTCCCCAGGAATACTAATGGTCACTTTAGTTTGAGCCAGTGTTTGCCAGACCTGTTCCTGGAGGCCCACCAACAATGCATGTCTTGGACATCTCACTAATCTGACACACAAGTTTTAGGTCTTTTAAAAATCTTTCAGTGAGTTGAATTTAAAACATTGTTTGTGTGCCTCAAGGAATGATGTTAGGAAAGCAATCATTTTATATCAATTATTCTTAAAATTCTTGAAAAATTCACTCGGGGATTTGTGCCAGCTCTGCTCAGTTTCAGTACAGCTGCGAACTAGAGGAGCTTTTTGAGATTTTTTTGTGGAAAAAATAGAAGCAATTAGACAGTCCATTATTTCTTTTACTGATGACCCTTCAGATCTTCTGACTCCTACTAGGTTTTTTAATTCATTTGAACTGATCTTGTCGTCAAACTGAAGCATAATACGTCTGCTCTTGATATTGTTCCTACCCACTTTTTAAAACTGATTTTTGATAGTGTTGGGGCCTGGATTCTTGCAATTGTAAATAAGAGCCTTCTTTTTGGGTTTGTTCCAGTAAACATGCAATGGTGAAACCTCTGCTGAAAAAGCCTAATCTGGATACAACTGTTTTATCGCATTTTAGGCCAATCTCAAATTTACCTTTTATTGCTAAAATTTTAGAGAGAGTTGTATTATTACAGTTACAGAGTTTTTTGGAAACAAATACTACTCTCGAAAAATTCCAGTCTGGATTTAGGAAAAATCATAGTACCGAGTCTGCTCGTTTAAGAGTATTAAATGACATTTAGCTACTTGTTGACTCTGGGAACTCAGTGATTTTAGTGCTTTTAGATTTGAGTGCAGCATTCGACACAGTTGATCATGGCATTCTTTTATCGCGCCTTGAAAAGTGTGTGGGCATCCAAGGAAGTGCCCTGAGCTGGTTCAGATCTTATCTTAGTAACAGAACTTTTTCAGTAGGTATTGGTCGCGCTGTTTCATCTGTAGCTCCTCTTACCTCTGGTGTTCCTCAAGGCTCTATTTTGGCTCCCATCTTGTTTTCACTGTACATGCTTCCACTAGGTTCAATTTTTAGGAAGCATGGAGTGTCCTATGTCAGATCTTGGATGTCTAAAAAATTTTGCATTTAAATGAGGGAAAGACTGAAGCAATTGTCTATGGACCCTCTGTGGGTAAAGGAAAACCAAATTTTAACTGTGGTCATTTAAACTCTTATATCAAACCAACGGTGAAATTTGGGAGTTCTTTTTGATTCCTCCCTTAAGTTTGACCAACATATTAACTCAGTAGTTAAGTCATGTTTTTTCCATCATAAACTTCTGTCAAAAGTTAGAGGTTTTCTATCTTTTAAAGATCTTGAAAGAGTCATACATGCTCTTGTTTTATCACGTTTGGACTATTGTAACTCCTTGTATATTGGACTACCAAAATCCTCCATGTCACGGCTTCAAATGGTTTAAAATGCAGCAGGCAGATTTTTAACAGGGGTTCGTAAACGAGAACACATTACTCCGATTTTAATGTCTCTTAACTGGTTGCCAGTGCGTTATAGAGTTGAATTTAAAATTTTGCTGTTTGTTTTTAAGTCCTTAAATGGTCTGGCACCTTCTTATTTGTCAGATCTTGTAAATGTGAATAGGTCTGCCAGATGTTTGCGATCCTCAAGACAGTATTACTCTGTCATATCCAAGGTCAAGATTGAAGTTGAAAGGTGACCGTGCGTTTGGGGTGGCCGGTCCTAGGTTATGGAACAGTCTTCCCTTATCTGTGAGATCCACATCTTCTGTATATGATTTTAAATCTAAGCTACAGTCTCATCTTTTTATTCTTGCATTTAATTCATTATAATTCTTGGTCTCATTTTAACTTATGTTTTAGTTGTATTATATTTATTATTAATCTTTTTATTTTACCAATCCTCTTTTGTACAGCACAGTGGTCAACTCTTGTTGTGTTTATTTGTGCTTTATAAGTAAATAAATGAAATGAAATGAAATGAGGAACTGCACTGATGCCAAGCTGAGAGTAGTGTGCTGTCTGGTACAGTAGTGCAACAATGTGGTTGCACAGTGCTGTGCCAGCAACACAGCTACACTGGGACAGTATGACCGGTCTGGAGTCCTTTAATGTAATCTATAAAGATAATTAAACAATGACAATAAATGGATGGCCCCAAATGGAATATATATATA